GTTCTCTGTATTCCCTCTATTTCAGCAATCTCTCCTGCTCTGAAGGGGGAAGTGAGTACTGAGCAGTACTCAAGACGGGACAACACAAGTGCCTTGAAGAGTACAACCATTGTGATGGGATCCCTGGATTTGAAAGTTCTCGTAATCCATCCTATCATTTTTCTGGCTGTCGCAATATTTGCTTGGTTATGCTCCTTAAACGTTAGGTCGTCAGACATTATTATTCCCAAATCCTTTACATGCTGTTTTCCTACTATGGGTACATTGGATTGTGTTTTGTACTCTGTATTATGTTTAAGGTCCTCATTTTTACCGTACCTGAGTACCTGGAATTTATCACTGTTAAACATCATGTTATTTTCTGATGCCCAGTCGAAAACTTTATTAATATCAGCTTGAAGTTTTTCAATGTCCTCAGCCGAGGTAATTTTCATACTGATTTTTGTGTCATCTGCAAAGGATGATACGAAGCTGTGACTTGTATTTTTGTCTATATCTGATATGAGAATAAGGAAAAGCAGTGGTGCAAGGACTGTACCCTGAGGTACAGAGCTTTTCACTGCACTTGGACTAGATTTTATATGGTTAACAGTTACTCGCTGAGTCCTGTTTGACAGAAAACTGAGTATCCAGCGTCCTACTTTACCGGTTATTCCCATTGACTTCATTTTGTGTGCTATCACGCCATGGTCACATTTATCGAAAGCCTTTGCGAAGTCCGTGTATATCACATCAGCATTCTGTTTCTCTTCTAATACCTCAGTGACTTTGTCGTAGTGCTCAAGTAGCTGTGAGAGGCACGATCTTCCCGCTCGAAATCCATGTTGGCCTGGGTTATGAAGGTCATTGGTCTCCATGAAATTGGTGACCTGACTCCTAATCACTCTCTCAAATACTTTTATGATGTGCGATGTTAGTGCAACTGGTCTATAATTTTTTGCCAATGCTTTGCTCCCTCCCTTGTGTAGAGGGGCTATGTCTGCTACTTTAAGTGCATCTGGTATCTCCCCCGTGACCAAGCTCTTCCTCCACACTATACTGAGTGCCTGTGCTACCGGCACTTTGCATTTCTTTATAAATATTGAATTCCATGAGTCTGGACCTGGGGCCGAGTGCATGGGCATGTTTTCAATTTCTTTTTCAAAATTTAGTGCGCTCGTGTTTATATCAGTTATATTTACAGGGGTTTGAATATCCCGCATAAAGAAATTGTCTGGATCTTCCACCTTCATGTTGTTTATTGGAGTGCTAAACATGTCCTCATACTGCTTTTTTAGGATTTCACTAATTTCTTTGTCATCCTCCGTGTATGAACCTTCACTTGTACGAATAGGTCCAATACTGGCAGTAGTTTTTGCTTTGATTTCGCATATGAGAAGAAATATTTTGGATTTTTCTTTATTTCCTGAATTGCTTTCTGTTCTAACTGCCTTTCTTCAGTTTCATATGAGTGTTTCAATTTCCGCTCGATTTCTTCAATCTCCCTATTTAAATTATTCCTTCTTTGACGGGAAATTCGTGTCAGCATAAGCAGTTCCGTTATTTTTTTCCTGCGTTTATAGTGTCGTCTGCGTTCTCTTTCTAAGTTAGATCTCTTTCTGGCTTTCCTCAAAGGAACATGTTTCAGACAGACTTGATACGCTTCTGAAGTAAGTTTTTCTATTCCTTCTGTAGGACTTGTATTATTTAGAACAGTTCCCCATGGAATGTTTGTAAGTTCCCTGTTTATTATCTCCCAGTCTATCCTTTTATTATTAAAATTGAATTTACTGAATAGCCCCTCTCGCATTATCAACGTTTTAGGTCTATTCTGAGTATTGATGGTCGTTTGCACTTCAATGAGTTTGTGATCTGAGTATGTGGTATCTGATATCGTAATGTCTCTGATAATGTCTTCATTGTTCGTAAAGACCAGATCTAGAATATTTTCATTTCTCGTTGGCTCCGATATCTGCTGATTGAGTGAAAATTTGTCACAGAATCTAAGTAGTTCTCTAATCTGTGGTTGGTTAGGTCCTGATAGATTTCCTGGTATAATATTATTGTTTGCTATTTCCACCTGAGACTAGGCAAGTTGAAGTCACCTAGGAAGATAATATCAGGTATCGGGTTCTCCAAATTATCAAGGCTATTCTCTATTTTGCTTATCTGTTCTGTGAATTCCTCAGCCGTTGCATCTGGCGGTTTGTATATTAGTATAATCACTAAATTTATTTTCTCTATTTTTAATCCCAGTACCTCTACCACCTCATTTGTAACGTTTAGGAGCTCCGAGCATACAAGGTCTTCCGTAATATACAGACCCACTCCTCCATGTGACCTAAGTTCGTATGGGTTCGTATCCTGGCCGGGGAGGATTTACTGAGGACAAATCCCTAACTGTAGCCTCTGTTTAACTCAACAGTAAAATGGGTACTTGGTTGTAAAAACGGTTCTTCGTGGCGATCGTATTCCAGGGACCAGCCCGAAACGCTACGCGTACTAGTGGCTGTACAAGAATATAACAACTCTTATATATGTATCTCAAAAAAAAGAAAATGTACCGTTTACCCATGACTCCAGTACCTTCCTTACCAGATGAGGATGTCAGAGATCCCTCATACGTGGGTGATTGACTTAGTACAAGGGAATAAGCATCTCTCCAACATAATGTTTAAGTGGAATGAAGTATGGACATAGGAGTACCTAATATCTCTAAGTGAGCACCATTATGGGGTAAATTCCCCATATAACAAAGTTAATATACAACCTGGTAATACTGTTCTGATGGACTTTGATGGACCAAGGACAGTTAGGAAAAGTCATATTTATCCACCCAGACAGGGAATTTTGCGGAATGTTAAAGTTCAGTCCAAAGGAGCTACGTCCTTGAAAACACAAGACAAACTAGTACACTTAGAATCCAAAGGGGAAGACTACAGATCCTGGGCAACCCACAGCATTATCACATGAAAATCTACAAATATCAATACGGCCCATCCGTCAAAGGACAGTCGCACAGAGGTGCAAACAAAATTTGCGTTTGTACTTTCAAAACGATGGGGAGTAAACATGGTAAATTTTCGTCTTGCCTCAGTCCTAAATAATGGACTCCAAACAATCATTTCCTTCCCATAAAGATGTGGAAATTTTTCATCAAAATAGAGTATAGCATGTGTGAGTTATATGGTGTGTGAGAGAGCACAAGGCTTATGTCTAGCGATTTATGGAACAAAGTACAGCCCACCCAGGACATAGAGAATGTTTAGTCAACATATGAACATCATTTTGAAGACACCACCCCAGAGAGGCATCTATAATGGGTTCCATACCAGGATATTTTTAAATAATCCAATAGCTATAAGCCTATCAAGGTAATAGTCCCAAATAAATACATAAACAAAACATATTTGTTTAATCAGATAAGGGTGGTTAACGATTGTATAAATTGATCTTTAAAACAGGGTGGGGTGACTATGCCCGCCTAGGTGTGGATACAGCTAGTGTTTAGACGAGTCTACATGGCATGTGTGGTGAGTACACTTCTCTACGACTCCGAATCCGGGACCCTGGCCTCTCCCCAGGAGAGACGGCTCAATACCTTCCACATGCAGACCCTGAGACGCATCTGTGACATTACATGGAGAGACCACGTCATCAACAATACTATACCCGAGGAAACAGGAATCCCTTCAATGTTCACTCCTGAAGCAGAGACGCATGCGAATGCTGGGTCATGCCACACGCATGGAAGATGGCCGCATACCGAAGGACCTCTTGCACTGAGAACTGGCAACAGGAAAGAGGCCCACCAGAAGACCCCAGCTGCGTTTCAAAGACGCCTGAAAACGCGACCCCAAGCACATGAACATCGACATCAACACTTGGGAGGCAGCAGCTGCGGACAGATCTGCCTGGAGATGCAGAAGGCAGAAAAGACTTCAGCAATTCGAGGGTGAACTGAAGAGGCAGGTGGAGGATAATAGACTTCAGAGGAGGACTCGACCACTGTCAGACTCACCCACTTCGATGTTTGACTGTGTTCGCAGCGGTCGGGACTGCCATCCTCAGGTTGGATTTCTCAGCCAGAGCAGACGTTGCATCCAACTAGACCCCCAGGGCACATCCCCATAACCCCACGGGATTAACGGATGCCTACTACTACTAGACGCTGCCATGATACTAAACACCACCACCAAAACGAGTATACACCGTGGTCGTTAACGCTAAGTTTCAGCCGTTTTTATTCCCGAGGACCTTAGTATAATGGTGTAAACGTCATATAAAACTGATTAAAGTTTTCATAAACCGTTTAAAAATGATAGATGTGGAAATATAAAATACCAGTGTGAAGTGGGATGTGGAGCCACAGTTGATGGAGCTCGCAGACACCATCACACCAAAATACCAGAACACACTATACACCAGTGTATATCACATCAAACTGTTTAGCTACTCTATGGACAGGTATTGTGGTGAAATAACATAACTATAAATGAACTAAATAATAAACAAACCAAACAATAAACAACTCGTCACCAGTAAGGAAACACCACGTGCATCAAGCGGTGCGATTTCAGCAGTTTAGAATACCCATAGACCTTTGCATGATCTATTAAAACAGTATAAACTTTGAGATACACTGTTTAAAGTAAACTTAGCGTGCCAAACCTTAGAAAAACAGTAGTTAAGTTGAGTGTGAGGCCACACTGAAGGCTCTCCAGTAAAGGAGCCAGACACCATTTATGCAAAATCAACACCACCTCATTAGTTAACTCCATAAAAATGCAGTACGAAGCTCACTGAGAGAGCTACACAAGTCTTAACAATGATCTACCATATGCTGAAAGACTTTGAGCACCCGGATTCCTATACTGTATATTATAATATACATTATAATATATGTTATGGGAACAGTTCGTGATAATTATTTTTTCAGGGATCATTGTTAAGATGTTTCACTAATTGTTCTATTTCAGGAACTCGGACATAGCACAGGCTTTTAAGCCAACCTCAGTAAGTCAATTACTTGTCACATAATTAAATATAACTAACTAGGTTATCCAATGTTTAGCAAATAAATATTTGAAATATAGTGCAATGGTTTAGAGATAAATACAAATATACATTATGCAATAGATAAATTCACAACGATAAAATATTAAGTGTTGTCATTGTTGATATTATCATTCATGTGTAAAAAATACCAGAATTAAAAACAAAAGCTAAAACTAATATTTTATATTAATTATCAGTGCATGCTGGGTTATACATATATTTTATTTTACCATAAAGTACTGAAATTTATTTCATCCAGCAGGTAAAATGAAGGCAGCACAATTCCTGCTGCGTCTCCCTAAATGTGAGCCACCTAGAGAACACGGAGACATCCCATACAGGTCACTATAGCACGAAGACGACTACAGTTTACTTAGTGGCAACTGGATATGATTACTATCACTCTAAACAGCTAAAATGTTGCTATCGTTCTTTTTATTTAGTAATACATCTTTTAATTTTAATCATTCTTAGGAAATCAAATAAAATCTATAAACCTAACATTCAGTGAAATTCAAGAAATCACCAACATTATAGAATTTTCAGTTATATTTCTTGCATAAAATTACATACAAGAGTACAGAGCTTGGCAGACCTTTTGCAGGAAGACTACGTTGTCCTCCTTATACATTTCAGAGAATGACGGGGTGTGTAGAACCAGTCATATTTTAGCAGATAACACTGTCATGTCGGATCCAGACCAGAGAAACGCAGCGCATCTAAAGACTCACCCACCTCATAGTCACTCACCCTGTCCTCGCCACTACACTCGAAGTTGACGTCTATGCCACTCCACCATCTCTTTTGCTATAGTAAGTCATCAAAGACCACTTACCCATGTTTGTGTTCATAATTGTTAATTGAATTGGAATAGAAAGTACCAGAACTGAAACTGAGTATTGACTGAAGAGTAAATCGATCTTACAGTCTCAAAAACTGCAATTAATCAGCAGTCCATCCCTGCACATCTATAACAATACTGAATTTGTGTACTGAGATTATGGGTTGATATTTATGGGCACTCGTGAGTGGAAGACTTGGTAACTTTCCTGTCACTATAGAGGGAATTGATTTGATACATTATCTTGTAATCTATGGACATATGCAATGTCCAAATGTAATATTTTTCTGAGGTGCTGACAAACGAAAGAAATTGTCTTTTCTTAACAAAGTAAGGAAAATAGATTTTCTACAAATACAGTTGGCATGAAGATCCATATGTGCTCAAGAAGAAGATTTGTAGAGGCAACATTTTGTCAAAGGTAAATAACCTTAAATCCAAGTTAATTCCCATCCAGAGAAGAACAAGTTAAGTTCATCCATTGAGCCTGCGTATTCCTTAAAGGAACTTGCTTTTCATTTAAGAAAATTGAATAAATAAACAAATTATAATATATTTACGATAGAAGTTCCCTTCGGGAATCTAATTCTCAAAATATAAAGGAAAACCAGAGATAAAACAAACATCTTGTAAAAACTCTTCTTTACTTTTGAGTCAAAGCCATGACGTTTCGAATACGACCTTATTCATCATCATATCTAAAAGAAACAGAAGTCACAATAAAATAAATAGCAAAACAATGTGACTTAAACTTTGAACCTTTTTGTTTTTCTTTGTTTTGCGCCCTTATATGCATGGTGTATTGAGAGACACCATATTTAGTGTCCATAATGGTAGTTTGTCACCATAAGTATTGTGAAATATGTCACAGATAAAGTGTATTGCATTGTATGATGACAAATGTAAAGTGTGTTTTGGGACACAATATGAATTGTGTAACACCTTAAGTTGTATATTATGTGTTCAATATGTGACATAGTGTGATATGTTCAATACGTGACGTAGTGTGATGTGTTCAATGTGACGTAGTGTGATGTGTTCAATATGTGACGTTGTGTGATGTGTTCAATATGTGACGTAGTGTGATATGTTCAATACGTGACGTAGTGTGATGTGTTCAATGTGACGTAATGTGTGACATAGTGTGATGTGTTCAATATGTGACGTTGTGTGATGTGTTCAATATGTGACGTAGTGTGATATGTTCAATACGTGACGTAGTGTGATGTGTTCAATGTGACGTAATGTGTTCAATATGTGACGTAGTGTGATGTGTTCAATATGTGACATAGTGTGATGTGTTCAATATGTGACGTAGTGTGATGTGTTCAATATGTAACATAGTGTGATGTGTTCAATATGTGACGTAGTGAGATATGTTCAATACGTGACGTAGTGTGATGTGTTCAATATGTGATGTGTTCAATACGTGACATTGTGTGATATGTTCAATATGTGACATAGTGTGATGTGTCATAAATGTGGAGAATTGAGTGATACCATAAATGTATTATGTTGTGTGTCATTCAACGTGTTCCGTAATGTGTGATACCTGAACAATTAATTTTCGTCCTTATATACATAGTGAATTATGTAGCAAAATATATGTAATGTGTTGCGCTACTGAATGATTATTATTTTGAGAGCATATTTCTTTTAAATAATGTTACAATAAATGTTGAACATGTAATTGTTTCTTAGGCAGGCTGGGGAACTTAGACATCCTTAGTGCAATGTATTGTACTATAAAACAATAATATTCTATTTTGTAACAAACTAGGCTGGTTGTGAGAATTATTCCAGAAGGTTCCAGAAGTTTCGTGTAGGGACCTGACCACAACAACACACATTCCCCTGGGGATTAGCAGGTCTGAGTCACAAATGGCAGGCGTCTCTGTTCATAGTTGCGTATAATGAATCATCCTATAGTATTCAGTAATTTAGAGAAATTAGCCTTTATTCATTTTGTATTAAAATTGTATTGTATAATATTACTGGGTACAATATCAAGAGTATTCTAATTATTGAGTTAAATCACCATCAGTGACGTCACGAATCAGATCTAAGTTGTAAGGCGCGAGTTACCGGCGGTCATAGGTCATCAGAGTTGACATGTCCACTATTTTTCAAAGTTCAAATACACATTTTGGTGAACGGGAACAGCTCTGCCGTTAGATGCTTGTGTAATTTAACTTCAGTAAAATAATTCAACCAGTCTGGATCAATTAAGTACAACAGAGGTTAATTGTTATAACTTAAACCTGGCTAAGTAACTTGGTAAGCTATGCGGAAGGATACAATGCTCTAGTCTGGGGAAGACCAGACGAGGAGAGATCAGTGTGGACTCCAGATCAACAGGGAGAGGTCAACCATCTTACCTCTCCCAAGACCAGCCCAACATCTTTAGCTGGTCAACATAGAGGTTTAGTTGCTATTGTTATTTATAGGGATAGTCAACTCATTGCCGTTCAGGTCAAGTAGGGAGTGAACATCTTTAGATTTTGTTTTAGTTTTCTTTTAATAAATTAACTAGTTAATAATTTGTATTTTTATTATTTCCATGTGTTTATGTGAACTTGTCCTGGTCACGAGGCAGAGTTGGATTGGGCGCCGATTCTAACATCGAGTCGGAATTCATCATTCCCGTGTAATTAATTCCACACTCTAAGTTTCCAAGGTCATCGGTTACTAGTGGGGATCAAGCCCCAAGGTTGATTAATTAGCATGATCGATCCAGACCTCGATCATTGCTCTGTGTTACTGGTCTGGTGGTGGTGGCGGAGGCGACTCTAGGGTTTTGCTCAAAGCCTAGGTCACGTCATACGGGTTGTAGAATCCTAAGTCGGTCAATCGTCTTAGGACCACGTGGCGTGGAGTCGGCTTTAGTAAAAGTTTTAGAGTCCCTTGTAGAGAAATAAAAAGTAAGAATACGGGTAGAGGGGGAGAAGAAGGAAAGATCAGGCGAGAAACCTACCCCGTGTTACAAATGTGACGTAATGTGTTCAATGTGTGACGTACTGTGACGTGTTCAATATGTGACATAGTGTGATGTGTTTAATATGTAACATAGTGTGATGTGTTCAATATGTGACGTAGTGAGATATGTTCAATACGTGACGTAGTGTGATGTGTTCAATATGTGATGTAGTGTGATGTGTTCAATACGTGACATAGTGTGATATGTTCAATATGTGACATAGTGTGATGTGTCATAAATGTGGAGAATTGAGTGATACCATAAATGTATTATGTTGTGTGTCATTCAACGTGTTCCGTAATGTGTGATACCTGAACAATTAATTTTCGTCCTTATATACATAGTGAATTATGTAGCAAAATATATGTAATGTGTTGCGCTACTGAATGATTATTATTTTGAGAGCATATTTCTTTTAAATAATGTTACAATAAATGTTGAACATGTAATTGTTTCTTAGGCAGGCTGGGGAACTTAGACATCCTTAGTGCAATGTATTGTACTATAAAACAATAATATTCTATTTTGTTACAACATAAGTGTGGGGTGTTGTGTGACTTGAGTGCTATATAATGTTGGGATGCATAAATGTGATTCTTACCTTTATAACCTGCAGCGTTGACATCTGCTCCAGCGTCGAGGAGGATCTTCACAGTGTTGTCGTGACCACCTTCGGCTGCCCTGAGAAGGGCTGTCCTGCCTGTCAACAGACACCACAATTGTTATTATGCATAAACCATCACGATTCCAGAGGTTTCTGTAAATTGTTGAAATAAACCATCCTTGATTAACAACTTTTATACTATTTAAGTGAAATACCAACTCTAAATATTATGCAAATTGATTTTCCATTTTAAGAATAATAGACGATAACCGTGTTAAAAAGTGATCAGAATAGATCACATTAAAAATATCCAACATACCAACGGTTATTATTTGATAAATTATTGCTTGTAACAAGAGAGAGCAAGTGGTGGTATGTAAATCAATTAAAAACTTTATTTGAAAAAGTACAGTCATTAGTAATATATAAAAAACAGTAACAGAACAGCAAGTAGATATTGTCATTACCAGGACCAGGAACTTAACTGGTAACAACTTATACAAATATTTTCAATGCTGGCAAGACTAAACAGATGTATAGCAATCTTAATTTTATATTATATTTAGGCATAAATTGATTGACAGTTATTTGAAAATTTGAAAGACGATATAGTGTAAAGATAATATGTATTTCACAAATATAAGGTAGTTAGACAATTTGTCATAGAACTAATATAAACTAATAATACCATGACATTAAATATATTAGCACACCCTCAGTATTTAACATCAACACATTCTGTGCCTATCCTGCCTCAAAATGACCCCAAATGCACAGCTCAAATTGTTTTTTTCTGACTTTAGTTGACTCAAAATGCCTGCCAGTAATCCATCTCTCTGTGACATTATTTGTTTAATCATTTCAAATATCCAGCAGGGGGTCTCCCTAAATTAGGATATTCAGAACCCCACAAGAGATGAACAGACTAAGGTGAACTGATAGCTCCAGCCTTGTAAAATGACCTTTAATAAGTGTCCTACACTATTAAGGCTCCGCAATAAAATGTCGGTAATACTAGCCTGAGGAAAGAAAAACATTGTTGCTATCATTTAACCAAAGTAACTATAATTTGAATCTAAAAGTTACTATTTGACGATACTTGATGGAGAAAAGAGAAGCAGGAAAAGACAAAAGAAATTAATTATCTTCGCTAATTAATATTATTGGAGTTTATGATATCCTGCTTCACACCAGTTGACATCTGACCATACTGACCTGAGAGGAGAGCATTTTTTGTTGTCATTGTCAGATAAACAAGATGATCACTGAGGATATCCTCTATCAACCAAGTTGCTATATGGTCACACAAGCTCTAGACAAGGAAAACAAAGAGTTGACAATGTTAGTTAAACAATATTACTAATAAAGATATTATGCATCACACCAGTTGTTATTTGAACAAAACGTCTTGAGACTGAAGCAAACATGTGTTGACTACATACTTATAACATCATAAGATAGTTCTTGAACCTCACAATTGTTAGCTGACCATTATATATTGATACAAAAGCAGGAGGGTTTCATTAATCTCATTTATATATGACGTGCATATTTTCTACACAACACCAGTCACTGTACTAACCTGCAACTATAGCATCAAGGTGACATTATTGTTGTACTTTGATTCATATAGATAATTAAAACTCCAGAAGAACTATTGCCCATGCATATTCATATTGAATAAAACTTATTCATATGTATGTCTAACCTTCGCTCGCAACAATCCTGCATTCCAACGTTCATGTTATCTGGTAATCACATCATTAACTCCTATTTCCAAAACAATATTTACCTATGTATTTTCAGAATATAAACTTGTCTAGTATGAATCAGAGTGACGACACGTGATTTAAGAGAAGAAAGCATTAATTAGATTTTTTTTGTGGCTTATTATAATCTTCAGCATTAATATGTTATGTTCTCTTCTATCATGTTCAGCCTTAGCAAGTTACATGTTCTTCTATCATATTCAGCCTTAACATGTAATTATGTTCTTAATAATGTTCAGTCTTAGCATGTTATATGTTCTTCATCATGTTCAGCCTTAATATGCTATGTTCATTCTTCATTTATTACGTTAGAGTGAAAGCAACATATGACGGTAAGGTGGCTAGTATTTGCCTTAACATAATCTTTGATGAGGAGCCACGTATGACGACGGAGGGAACCATCAGAGGTGATAACCAGCAATTGTCATTCATAGTAAGTGAAGCTAGTGTATGAGAAAGAGTAACGGGTAACTGCAGGTTTATCAATGAGGGGATAACTCTACACTCAGGCCTGGATAAGCAATGTCTGAAGAAGTTTAACTCAGAAAATAGTTTGACCTGAGGGTGAAGAGGGGCCCTTGTAATTATTGTGTTTGAAGATGTCTGGGATCTGTGGGTTCCAGCAGCAGCAATCTCAATCATTCTAATACACTGATAAATATGTGAGAATCATCGATAATGTGGAAAACCCATTAGTTTTAATTAGGCGATTAGTGAGGCTTAATCCATACATGTATTGATGGACAGTTAAAGTTTATCATATTATTCAAAATCATTATATATATATATATATATATATATATATAATATATATATATATATATATATATATATAAATATATATATATATATATATATATATATATATATATATATATATATATATATATATATATATATATATATATATATATATATATACATACACATTGTGACGGTGTTACCCCCTTATATTTCTCCCACGACTGCTGTAAGAGTCATGTCCTCTTCACCCGAGCGTTCTCTACGTCGCAGGCATCAGTTTGATATATGTGGGAGAGTGTAGTGTTCTCGCGTTGGCGAGAAATTCGAAAAAGAAAAGTATTTTGGCCTGTTGTTTAGGCCCTTCAGGATGCCAATATGGCGCTAGCCCCTCCGTTTTGCCGCCAAAACTGTGTCACGTCAGTGGCACCAGATTGGTCACTGACAGTGACGTGGCACAGGGAGCCAATGAAAACCGCCCCTGGCAAGTATGACGTCACAAAGGCAGGGGGGTTCGGAGATCGCGCCTCTTTGGCACCACTAGTCTGAGGCGACACGTTGACAAGTTCGGACGTGCGAAAGTTGGTCCTGTCAGTTTGACAGTTGTACCCCCGCTCCCATGGATTTTACGCGTCACATGTAGTCTGCAAGTACTCTGTAAGGTCTTCCTTCAAAAGTGGGCATATCACGGTAAACTAAACGTTGTTCAATTTGTTTATAAATTTATTTATGAAATGGATATAGAGATGGCTACAACTGGTCCAAGTTTCAGCATCACACCCTAAATAAAAAAGGAGAAAAAAAATACACAACGTATTATGCAACGAATTTTCAACATTTTCAAATAATGTCAGGGAACACATGTGTCAACTAAAATCATTTCTATAACACTCATATATTAAAATTAGCATATAATAAAGGATTTGTGAGAGCAGTTTTATTAAAAAGTGTTTAGTGCAATAATATAATTATTCAAAGATACCCTTTCAAAAATATGCAATATATGATGTTTATAATTTTTTTAAAATCAACAAATGGACTTTGGACTATAATATCTACATCGGGCTGTAGAAGCACAAACTCTACATGTATGGTGTAATTTGCATGTAAATTGATTAATAAATGAAAGCTATGACATACCTTGAAGTTGTAAATTATTTACCTGAGTAAAATAAGATCAAAGTTTGGCCACCTGTAGCTGAGCTTGACGTCTATCGATTTCGTTCATAATTGGCACCCTTGCAGATAGGTATCCGTTGAGCAAGGTGTGCAAGTTCCATGCAAATCCCCTGATAACAAACGAAAAAAAAATTGAAACAAATTGTAAAAAAAAAAAAAAAATTATTATTATTATATATATGTATATATATATATATATATATATATATATATATATATATATATATATATATATATATATATATATATATATATATTAGTATATTTTGGTAGCAGTCTTTCCTGTAGACATATTTTATTAAATATGACCGAAAAAGTAAGATTAATAATTCTAACACGAATTTTCTCAATCTTTCGTACATTATGCTTCACTGTTGGAGGTAAATCAAAAATCACTTCTCCAAAATTCATTTTTATTTCTAGTCTGACGCGACACGGGCGCGTTTCGTAAAACTTATTACATTTTCAAAGACTTCACAAATACACAACTGATTAGAACTTGCGTTTCCCTGATTTTATATCTACATTTGAGTGAGGTGGGAAGGGTGATGTGGCATTACATTTGAGTAAGGTGGGAAGGATGATGTGGCATTAGAGGATATTAATAGGGTATTAAAAGTATCACACAAGACAGAACACGAAACAATGGATATTGAATAGAAGTGTTTGTAGAAAGCCTATTGGTCCATATTTCTTGATGCTTCTATATTGGAGCGGAGTCTTGAGGTGGGTAGAATATAGTTGTGCAATAATTGGCTGTTGATTGCTGGTGTTGACTTCTTGATGTGTAGTGCCTCGCAAACGTCGAGCCGCCTGCTATCGCTGTATCTATCGATGATTTCTGTGTTGTTTACTAGGATTTCTCTGGCGATGGTTTGGTTATGGGAAGAGATTATATGTTCCTTAATGGAGCCCTGTTGTTTATGCATCGTTAAACGCCTAGAAAGAGATGTTGTTGTCTTGCCTATATACTGGGTTTTTTGGAGCTTACAGTCCCCAAGTGGGCATTTGAAGGCATAGACGACGTTAGTCTCTTTTAAAGCGTTCTGTTTCGTGTCTGGAGAGTTTCTCATGAGTAGGCTGGCCGTTTTTCTGGTTTTATAGTAAATCGTCAGTTGTATCCTCTGATTTTTGTCTGTAGGGATAACGTTTCTATTAACAATATCTTTCAGGACCCTTTCCTCTGTTTTATGAGCTGTGGAAAAGAAGTTCCTGTAAAATAGTCTAATAGGGGGTATAGGTGTTGTGTTAGTTGTCTCTTCGGAGGTTGCATGGCTTTTCACTTTCCTTCTTATGATGTCTTCGATGAAACCATTGGAGAAGCCGTTATTGACTAGAACCTGCCTTACCCTACAGAGTTCTTCGTCGACTTGCTTCCATTCTGAGCTGTGGCTGAGAGCACGGTCGACGTATGCGTTAACAACACTCCTCTTGTACCTGTCAGGGCAGTCGCTGTTGGCATTTAGGCACATTCCTATGTTTGTTTCCTTTGTGTAGACTGCAGTGTGGAAACCTCCGCCCTTTTCCATGACTGTTACATCTAGAAAAGGCAGCTTCCCATCCTTTTCCGTCTCGTAAGTGAAACGCAGCACGGAACTCTGCTCAAATGCCTCCTTCAGCTCCTGCAGATGTCTGACATCAGGTACCTGTGTAAAAATGTCGTCAACATACCTGCAGTATATGGCCGGTTTCAAGTTCATGTCGACTAAGACTTTTTGCTCGATGGTACCCATGTAGAAGTTTGCAAACAGGACACCTAGGGGAGAACCCATAGCGACCCCATCTACTTGCTTATACATGTGCCCATCCGGGCTCAAGAAGGGTGCCTCTTTAGTACAAGCTTGGAGTAGTTTCCTCAGAATACTTTCTGGCATGTCAAGAGAGTATTCTTGACATGCCAGAAAGTATTCTGAGGAAACTACTCCAAGCTTGTACTAAAGAGGCACCCTTCTTGAGCCCGGATGGGCACATGTATAAGCAAGTAGATGGGGTCGCTATGGGTTCTCCCTAGGTGTCCTGTTTGCAAACTTCTACATGGGTACCATCGAGCAAAAAGTCTTAGTCGACATGAACTTGAAACCGGCCATATACTGCAGGTATGTTGACGACATTTTTACACAGGTACCTGATGTCAGACATCTGCAGGAGCTGAAGGAGGCATTTGAGCAGAGTTCCGTGCTGCGTTTCACTTACGAGACGGAAAAGGATGGGAAGCTGCCTTTTCTAGATGTAACAGTCATGGAAAAGGGCGGAGGTTTCCACACTGCAGTCTACACAAAGGAAACAAACATAGGAATGTGCCTAAATGCCAACAGCGACTGCCCTGACAGGTACAAGAGGAGTGTTGTTAACGCATACGTCGACCGTGCTCTCAGCCACAGCTCAGAATGGAAGCAAGTCGACGAAGAACTCTGTAGGGTAAGGCAGGTTCTAGTCAATAACGGCTTCTCCAATGGTTTCATCGAAGACATCATAAGAAGGAAAGTGAAAAGCCATGCAACCTCCGAAGAGACAACTAACACAACACCTATACCCCCTATTAGACTATTTTACAGGAACTTCTTTTCCACAGCTCATAAAACAGAGGAAAGGGTCCTGAAAGATATTGTTAATAGAAACGTTATCCCTACAGACAAAAATCAGAGGATACAACTGACGATTTACTATAAAACCAGAAAAACGGCCAGCCTACTCATGAGAAACTCTCCAGACACGAAACAGAACGCTTTAAAAGAGACTAACGTCGTCTATGCCTTCAAATGCCCACTTGGGGACTGTAAGCTCCAAAAAACCCAGTATATAGGCAAGACAACAACATCTCTTTCTAGGCGTTTAACGATGCATAAACAACAGGGCTCCATTAAGGAACATATAATCTCTTCCCATAACCAACCATCGCCAGAGAAATCCTAGTAAACAACACAGAAATCATCGATAGATACAGCGATAGCAGGCGGCTCGACGTTTGCGAGGCACTACACATCAAGAAGTCAACACCAGCAATCAACAGCCAATTATTGCACAACTATATTCTACCCACCTCAAGACTCCGCTCCAATATAGAAGCATCAAGAAATATGGACCAATAGGCTTTCTACAAACACTTCTATTCAATATCCATTGTTTCGTGTTCTGTCTTGTGTTGATACTTTTAATACCCTATTAATATCCTCTAATGCCACATCATCCTTCCCACCTTACTCAAATGTAATGCCACATCACCCTTCCCACCTCACTCAAATGTAGATATAAAATCAGGGAAACGCAAGTTCTAATCAGTTGTGTATTTGTGAAGTCTTTGAAAATGTAATAAGTTTTACGAAACGCGCCCGTGTCGCGTCAGACTAGAAATAAAAATGAATTTTGGAGAAGTGATTTTTGATTTACCTCCAACAGTGAAGCATAATGTACGAAAGATTGAGAAAATTCGTGTTAGAATTATTAATCTTACTTTTTCGGTCATATTTAATAAAATATATATATATATATATATATATATATATATATATATATATATATATATATATATATATATCCTGCACATACATATTTCAATTATTACCAAATATCAAATTATAACACTAAAACATACTAACCTATTGAAATTGGTCCGAATTGTGGGTCCTCAAGGTAGCACTGCAATGTGTGAGGAAGGTTGAGGAGGTGTGTGAGGAAGGATGAGGTGGTGTGTGAGGAGGTGTCGGTGCGCCACCATCTCTCACTGGATATTACTCTTCTTCGTGCTAAAGCGGCT